CGTAACCTACGTAACTTATTTTTTCCCTTATTGACAAAGCAGTAAGTGTGGTGTATGAAGACTTAGAAATAATGACTTACCAATCTTCTGAAGACGAGTGTTAGAGGCATGGAGGTTCCTTGCAGCAATGAAGGAGGATCCCAAAGCATTTTTGGAGACCTAGTGCATAAACAGTTTTAAAAAGTTTATTTAAAAGGGGCGCCTGGGTGGCTTAGTCAGTTAAGTGGCTGCCTTTGGCTCAGGTCATGATCCCAGGGTCCTGGATCCTTGATCAATTTATCGGTGAAAATATTAATTATATTAAAAAATATTCTGCTTAAAACTGGAAGGCTAGTAATCACATGACAAAGTAGCTTTTGATATATGCAAAAATGTTATTAAGCAGCTCCTGGTAACACTGTTAAGTATTTTATAAAACACTTATTTTAAAAACCAACAGTTACCAAATTATCTTTTCTTTTAAAGGTATCAGGTACTATTATTTCATCTTTAGATATATTTCAGTTGAACTGTGGATATTCTCAGTAAGATAAACTGCTTCCTAAAAGGGGGAAATATCAAGACATATCCTATTTTACTTAAAAAAAAGAAATTTAAATTAGTAAATGTTAAAGTTTGATTAGAAATTAAGTATGGCTGTGGACTCTTTTTTTCCTGGTCGACAAAGCCTACAACAATCTGGACCCCCTCCATCTCCTTCAAGTTGTAACTCAGTGATTGGTCACTGTCAATTCTGAACCTACTACTTTCTACAGGACCAGATGAAAACCGTTAAAAATGTTCTTTTGCGACTAGTTGTATTAGAACAGTAAAACAGCCAGTGTTTACAATGTTTAAGATGGAAACTGATACAATGTTTAAGATGGAAAAAAAAATAAATGCAAGCCTTAACTTCAAGGGAGGTAAGTAACGAAGGGAATTGACCTTTAGAGGCATTTTCCAACCAGTGTTCTATCTTGAGCTCTCACTCACTGTCTAACGATTCCTCAAGGACGAAATCTTGGAACAACACAAAGCAAAGTCTTCTTTCTGCCTGAGACACTTTGGGCTTCACTGCTGTCACGGTATCGGCCACATGCAATGCACATTTGCACTGTACGGCCTTTCACAATCGTATCAGTGTTGAGCACTGAGATCGCCTACTGAAGTATTCAGAAAAGCACCTTCATTTATGGCTTTCCCCCGAACCGACCTCCGGGCAGAGGTCAAATGCCGGGGCGCCCCGACCTTCATACAATGTCAGGCTGCCCTAGGTCGCTTCAACTAGAGCTACCAACAGTGCTCCGACCTTCAGCGGGGCAGTCCCGGAGAACCAGCCGGGACAAGCCTCGCCGTTCCAGAGCAGGGGTCGGAGACCTAGCGCCCCAGCCCTGACCTTCAACCAAGGCCCCCTGTCGGACAGCTCTCAAGTGAAGTCGTGAACACCCCCTGAGGCCCCATCTCTGCACAGCATCGAGGTCACCACCTCCCCTGCACCGCTCAACACCGTCCCGCACGGATGGCAAGCAACAGGGCCCTTGCGCCGCCGCCCAGCCCAAGGCCGAGTAGCCAGCGGTGCAAGATGGCGGCGCCCGCCAGCCCCTCACCCTCCATGCAGCAAGAGCTCTCGAGTCAGTACATCACCAGCCACCCGCCGGGCCACCTCCCTTCCGCCGGTTCCCCGCACTCACCAGCCCGGCCCGCCGAGGGAGGGCGCGGGCCACGGCCGCGGCGACGCGCACGGACAGCATCTTTGCAGGTTCTCCTTGGGTGGTTCCCCTGCAGCCGCAGCCTCTGGACTGACTGGGACAAAATGGCTGAGCGGCGAGGAAGGTCAAGGCAGCATCCCACCTGACCCGGAAGTACCGCCCCTCGCGTTCACTCCCGGATGCGAATCTGCCTTTTGCGGGAGGGTTGGGGAGGAGTTACCTTTTAAAGTACAGTTTTTAGATTTAAAATTAAAAATGAGCAATTAGACCTTTGTCAACTTCGGCCCAGGCTTTCGTTACAGATTTATTTTGACCTACTGAGTTGACCTTGTGGTTGCCCCTGGCGACCATGTGGGTAGCGGAACCCCCTACAAAGAGGCTCTCAGGACTGGGGACCGTGTAGGTGTCACCCTGTACTAGGACGCAGCTTGTTTGAAGGTGACGGGAGGCCGATGTTGTGGGGTCCGAGACTACAGCTTTTTTTTTTTTTAAGATTTATTTATTTATTTGAGAGAGCGAGAGAGAGAGAGAGAGAGAGCATGAGAGGGGGAGGGGCAGAGGGAGAAGCAGACCCCCCGCTGAGCAGGGAGCCCGATGCGGGACTCGATCCCGGGACTCCGGGATCATGACCTGAGCCGAAGGCAATCGCTTAACCAACTGAGCCACCCAGGCGCCCGGAGACTACAGCTTTTAAAGCCTTGTAGCAAAGTAAACGGTTATCACCGGGGGCTTGCCGAACTGGTTAATCCGTAGATCGTTGGCCCCACCCCCAGACCCTCTTAAAGCCGAAAATTCGGAGCAATCTGAATTTTTGAGAGGCGCCCACACCGTTCTACGTGATCCGTTACGCACTCAAGTTCGAAAATCTCAGTTCTTTTAGATTCTATCTAAATGAAATCTGTATATTAGAACAAATTGTTTAAAAATGGTAACAAACACAAGTTCAAAAAGAGTGGTTGCCAATTCTACTGAGAATGGTGCAGAATCAGAAGTCTCACCCCAGACTGAACCAGGATTCAAGGTTTCCTCTACCAACAACTAGTTTCAGGACAGCAGGGACTATGGTTTTACATTTGGAATAAAATGGGGGCGACTGAGTGTCTCAGTCGGTTGAGCCTCCGCCTTGGGCTCAGGTCATGATCCCGGTGTCCTGGGATAGAGTCCCCCATCGGGCTCCCTAATCAGTGGGGAGTCTGCTTCTCCCTCTACCCTATTCCCCTGCTGGTCTGCTTATGATCTCTCTCTCTCTCTCTCACCCTGTCTCTCTCAAATAAATAAAATCTTTAAAAAAATGAATTTGGAATAAAATGGAAATGATAGAAATGCCTAGGTGGCTCAGCTGGTTGGTTAAGCATTTGCCTTCCGCTGAGGTCATGGAGCCTGCTTTTCCCTTTCACGCTGCTGCTCCCCCTGCTTGTGCTCTCTTGCGCACGCTCTCTCTCTTTCTCTGCCAATAAATAAAATCTTCAAAAAATAATAAAATAAAATGGAAAGGATAAAGAAAAAACACCTTCCTATACCAACACATTAACATTGGGGCAGAACTCCCTCACCCATACACACACAGAATTTTTGCGATACTGAGATTTTTATGATATGCACAGATTGTTGGGGGGGGATATTGGGTGTCTTATCTGATTTATACCCAAAACCTTAATTTGGGTGGAGCATATGAATATCTGGATTAAAAGGGTCATGTCCTAAAATATAGCTTGCAAATGTATTGTCAGCAATCCCTTCTCTAATATGCTATTCCATTTTCAAGGTGAGCATCCTTCTCCTTATGGGTAAATACAGGCTAACAGGGAAAAAAAAAATGGTTTGTAAAAACGGAAAGGTTGGAGGGGTATTTTGTGAAATTTGTAGTGATGAAAGTGGACAAAGGGCATAAAGATAACTTTTCCCCCATACTCAGGGGCTGTACCAACTTACTTGAAATTTGTTACTGAGCCGAGACACATTTGACTAAAACAAAAATAATAAGCAAGCCATACAATATGGTATTGGCCAGTTAGTAAAATTCTTTTGGAAAAAAAAAATTTCATCATTTTAAATATGCATATGACTTAGAAGAAAGATTTAGTGCTAAGAGTAATGCCCAGTTTGATATTAAACCACATATATCAGACTATTGAGTACATGGTCTACGTTTCCTGATGTTTCACGGTATACCACAGGAGGCTGCAGTCAGCAGTGTGGTCTAACTAGCTTTCAAATATAAAACAGTCAGAGCCAGAACATTATGGTCAGACTCTAGCTCTACTACCTAATCTTGGTCAAGTCACTTACTCTGTGTGTGTGTGTGGTTTTTAATGTGAAAATACATAGAATAATATGGTCATCTATTTTTACAGGGTACTGTAAGAATGAAACTAAAATAGGAAAACATAGAAAACTACACATTGCTGTCTGTGTAGACAGCTAAAGAGAACCTCTCCTAGTGTTAAATACAGTGATGGAGGGAGAACTTTAGGGAAGGCAAGAAATGAACGAAGAATGGCTGAGTGGCAGTGACAGGGCCAGCAGTTGGATGCTGTCAACTGTTTTTTCTTTCTTTCTTTTTAAAAGATTTTATTTATTTATTTGACAGAGAGAGACACAGCGAGAGAGGGAACACAAGCAGGGGGAGTGGGAGAGGGAGAAGCAGGCTTCCTGCAGAGCGGGGAGCCTGATACGGGGCTCGATCCCAGGACCCTGGGATCATGACCTGAGCCGAAGGCGGACCCTTAACGACTGAGCCACCCAGGCGCCCCTGTTTTTTTTTCCCTTTAAGTTTTATTTATTTAAGTAATCTCTACACCCCAAGAGGGACTTGAACTCACAACCCAGATCAAAAGTCCCACTCTTCTGTTTGAGCTAGCCAGGCGCCCCAACTGTCAACTATTTTAAAACAGTCTCCAGAAAAAATAAATAAATAAATAAATAAAAATAATAAAATAAATAAAACAGTCTCCAGCACATGTAGCTCTTTGATAGTGGAAACTAAAGGATAAGACTGCTGCAGCTCATATTGCTAGGGTAAAAATAAAAATTTTAAGTCAATGCACTCCTTGTGGAAGAAACAAATATCTGCTATCCAAAAAACAAGTTTCAGGTATTTTTTAAGACAAGTGATTCAAGTCAAAAATAAAAATATAAGAAAGAAAAAAACAGCCTGGTTCTAGACGGCTGTTCTTCTCCTCTAGGAAATGATACCACCGAGAGCAGAGAGAGCCCCGAGGCGGCAAGCCCGTGGTGCTGGAGTTTTGGACCAGCCTTGCCCAAGGACTCGGAGGCCCCCTATCCTAGTAAAAACTACAACTCCCAGAAATCCCGGGCCCAGAAGGGGGCGGAACCAACGGTGTGTAGGCGGGGCCTTCAGAGCTAGCTGTGAACTTCTCCCGCGAGGAACTTCTCGAGAAGTGGCGGGAGCGGCGGCTATGGAAGCACAGGAAGAGAAAGAGGCGCAGGTGATGGGGCGGGATCTGGGATTTGTGGCCTCCTGGAGACGGCATCTTTGACAAACTCCCCCCGTCCGCGGATCGTCTGGGCACACCATGTTTACTTTTTTCCTACTCCTTCTCTGCGGGTCCATCTTTGGTCCCGCCTTCACGACCTGCGAGCCCCACTCTGCTTAGACCCCGGGAAAGGGTGTTTCCCTTCCTTCCCGGGGCCCTCGTTGCTTGGACTCAGGCTTGGAGAGCGGTTGAGGAGCCTCTTGGTACGAGAGACCTCTCAGCCGACTGGAGTGGGACTTCCGAATCCAAAGCCACTTTCCAGCCAAGCCTCACCGTTCACTGCTACTTCCTAGTAGGATTTTCACACCTGACCTTCCTCATCCTGCATCCCTACTCTAGGTGCCTCTGGGTACAGCGGGGCTTTTGGTGTGTTGAGGGCAACTCTTTTTTCAGACTTTGCACGTATAAATATGCTTTGGCACCTTCATACTGAGCTTAAAATCATTCGAGCAAATTATTAGCCTATACCGCTTTGTGGCTTTAGGGAAGGGTAGATTGTCTTCTGATTTTGTTCATTGGGCTTGCTCACTTGTTTCCTGACATCGGGTATCTATCTCCGTAAAGACAAATTATAATGTGAAGTAAGTAGGTTGCCAGAATATTTCTAGAGAACATTTTGTTTGCTTCTGATCAGTTCTTTCTCATATTTGCTTCATGCTATTACAATAAACAAGGCTTATAATACTTGCTTTTCTTTTAATGGTTAGGTTGCTGCGTGGTTGAAAAAAATATTTGGAGATCACCCCATTCCGCAATATGAGGTGAATGCTCGGACCACGGAGATTTTACATCACCTTTCAGAACGCAACAGGGTTCGGGACAGGGATGTCTACTTGGTAATAGAGGACTTGAAACAGAAAGCAAGTGAATATGAATCAGAAGGTGAGATTAATTACAGAATTTTGAATGAGCTATTAACTTGAGGTAACTACATTTTATAACACCAAAGAATACAAAATTAATTTAGTGTAGACTGCTTGTTAGTTTTGCTTCTTATTTCACCCAGATTTGCCTCCCACTCCGTTATTATAGCAACTTAATAAGCCATAAATTTCATTATAATGTAAATTTTATTGGTATTCTGATACCATATAGTAATCCCTAAAACGTGTCTAAACTTAGCCTGACATAAAAGCCTTTGGTTTTTCACTTACATATCTTTCTGGTCTGTTTCCCGTCTCCATGCTTTAGTTTAACGAGCCATCAGGGCATCTGAGGTGGCAGCCATGAACTGCAAGACTTGAACAAATCACGTTATCACTATGTATTCATGGGATTGCATTAGAATTTTCTGCTGTGCATATGTGTCTTGAAAAAGTGCATTCAAGATACCTGTTGTTTTTATAATACAAACTACACACGAAAGAATTGACAGAAACTTTCTATGGGTTGGAATATACAAAAGAGGAAGAAAGTGAAACTTACAATTGCCCTGTATTTAATTATGTGTGTGGCGTGTGTTACATGCAATGTTTTGAATGTAGTACAGTTTATATTGTAATTCTACTATATATGGGCTTTTTCCAATTTTCTTTTAAAAATTAACATACAGCAAAATTGACTTTTTGTTTTGGTTCACTGCTTTCAGCATATATATTATATTTCTATGATATGTAGATAATATTATATTATTTTATGCAATTGCTTTTTAAATCAGGAGAAAAAATATGCACGTATGCTCTTTATAATTCTATAGCTACCTTTTCTGATACTCATTGTTTTTTTGTGTGTGCATTCAAATTATTGTTTGGGGTCACTTGCTTTTAGCCCACAGAACTTCCTTTAGAATTTTTTCTAAGTCAGGACTGTTAAATTCTCTGTTTTTGTCTATCTGGGAGTCTTTATTTTGCATTCATTTTTGAAAGATAGTTTTGCTAAATGTAGAATTCTTCATTGATAGTTTTTCTCTTGAACACTTTGAATATGTTAACCCATTGCTTTCTGGCCTCCATTGTTTCTGCCGAGAAGTCAACTATTAATCTTATTGGGGTTTTCTTGTAAATAACAAATCCTTTTTCTTTTGCTGTTCTCAAGATTGTCTCCCTATCTTTTTTTTCAACATTTTTACTTTGATATGTGTGTTCGTGGATCTCTTTGCATTTATTCTGCTTGGGTATGTTGAGTTATTGAGTTTTTTGTTGAGTTATTCCTTGGATGTGTAAATTACTGTTTTTCAATAAATATGGTAAGTTCTCAGGCATTATTTCATTATTTCTGACTGTTTCTTTCTGCTTCTTCTGGACTCCCATTGTGCATACGCTGGTGTGCCTAATGGTGTTTCTCATTTTTCTGAGGCTCTCTCTCTTTTTTTTTTTTTTACTTTTTTCCTCTTTGTTCTTCAGCTTCCATAATCTCTGTTGCTTTAATTTCAAGTTCACTTATTATTTATTCTGCTACTTCAAATCTATTGTTCATTTTTTAAAAAAGATTTTATTTAGGGCGCCTGGGTGGCTCAGTTGGTTAAGCGACTGCCTTCGGCTCAGGTCATGATCCTGGAGTCCCTGGATCGAGTCCCGCATCGGGCTCCCTGCTCGGCAGGGAGTCTGCTTCTCCCTCTGACCCTCCTCCCTCTCACGCTCTGTGTCCTCATTCTCTCTCTCTCAAATAAATAAATAAAATCTTTAAAAAAAAATTTTATTTATTTATTTGACAACGAGAGAGATAGGGAGAGCAGGAACACAAGCAGGGGGAGTGGAAGAGGGAGAAGCAGGCTTCCCGCCAAGCAAGGAGCCCGATGTGGGGCTCGATCCCAGGACCCTGGGATCATGACCTGAGCCGTAGGCAGACACTTAACAACTGAGCCACCCAGGTGCCTCTGTTCATTTTCTTTAGTCAACTTCTCATTTTAGTTATTGTACTCTTCAACTCTAGAATTTTCATTTAATTTTTTTTTTTAGCAATTTCTATTTCTTTTGATATTCTCTATTTGATGTAACATTGTCCTATACCTTTTGTTACTTCTTTCATCATGGTTTCCTTTGGTACTGTGAACTTGTTCGCTTGGCTGTTTTGAAGTCTTTTCTGATAAATCCAACATCTGGTCATTCTGACAGGCAGTTTCTGTTGCTTGCTTTTTACCGTGGGTCATGCTTTCTTGTTTTGCATTCCTATGTATTTTTTGTGGAAACAGGACATTTTAGATACTGTATTGTAGCAACTCGGAGTATAAGTCTCCCAACACCCCAGCCCCCCAAAACTTGTTGTCATTGTTGTTTTCTTATTTATTTAATGACTGACTTTTTTTTTTAAAGATTTTATTTATTTGACAGAGAGAGAGAGAGCACAAGTAGGCAGAGAGGCAGGCAGAGGGAGAGGAAGAAGCAGGCTCCCCGCTGAGCAGGGAATCCGACGATGCTGAGCTTGATCCCAGGACCCTGGGATCATGACCCGAGCCCAAGGCAGCCGCTTAACCAACTGAACCACCCAGGCGCCCTCCGACTGATTGTTTTTAATGAAGCCTATTTGCCCCTGATGGTGTTAAGTCTGTGATGTTGCTCCTCAGGGAGGCACGTACTTAAGTATCCCCACAGTCACTGTGGGATATCAGGGGTTTTGGTAGGACTCTCTTTCATGGACCACATCCAACTGTGCAATTCTGCTAATTGACGGCTGATTATTGTTTCCAACAATACCGTGGGACATAAGCTGCAAGCTAATCCAATCAAATTCTGGCACCCTTAAAGGTATAGTTTCGGAGGGCAATGTTTGATATTTGTTGTGACCTAAGGATGACTCCTCTTACATGTCTTATTTTCTGCTCCTCCCATGCAAACTAACTAGCCTACAGTTTAACGCATGTCTTGACTCTACTCCCAATTGCTTTTTACTATAACTTCCACAGTTCTTGAGAGTCTCTCTAGGCTTGGACTTCTCCAGGCTCTGTTGCAAATGAATTCAGCTCCTTTGGGAAGATACTGGGAATTATCTTTTCTATGGCTTGCTTCTTCCTCTGCCCCAAATCTCTGAACCAGGGGTCTGGAGTTGGAGGTAGAGACAATAGCAAACTTTTCTTTGAGTGGCACTGCCAGTGTAGATGCTGAGTGCTTGGTGGACAGGGGAGTTCAGCAGCCTTAGGTCCTCTTGGCTTGCCTTTCCTGGTATGGAATCACTACCTCATGGCCTGGTACAAGGGCCCTTGGGGTAGGGTAGAAGCTCATGCAAGGTAGAGCTTCCATTCCAAAAACAGTGGCTGGGTGGAGGAAGAGAGCCCACACCTCTCAGCCACATCCACCTAGGGCTTAGTCTCAGCAACAGAGAGCTGGTGGCAGGATGAGAAACATTGAAGTCCAATTCCTCCTGGACAGAAAGCCCTCTGGCTGGGAGCAGGGGGCATGGAGATCCCTGTGTTCTTAACTACAACAGTCTGGACTGGAGTCTCCACCTCACTGAACTGGGAGGGAGAAGGAGAGGGTGGTCTTGGTTTAAATACCACAAACTTTCACCTTCTTCACTGAATTTTCATAGATTTTCTAGAATAGATGTTTCTTTATTTGCTGTTTGTCCTTAGGACCATTTTCAGAGGCTTTAAATCACTGTGTTTTGGTTCTGGTTTTCGTTGTTGTTTTTACATGGTTGGGTTTCTTGTTTTGTTTTTTACAATGTTTGCCTGTTTCACTGAGGGGGCTGGTATGCAGATCTCCTTGCACTGTTAGGCTAGAAGTCTTAACTCCTGGTCTACTGATTTTTGACAAGGGTAACAAGACAATTCAGTGGAGGAAAAAATAGCCTTTTCAATGACTAGTGCTGGGGTAACTGGATATCCACATGTACAAGAATGAAGTTGGACCCTGCTTCATACCATATGCAAGAATTAATTCAAAATGAATTAAAAACCTAAACGTAAGAGCTGAACCTAAAACTCAGAAGACAACATCAGTGTATGTCTTCAAGATCTTGAATTTGGCAATGGTTTCTTAGTGATGATTCCCCTAAACACAATCAACAAAAGAAAAATTAAATAAATTGGACGTCATCAAAATTAAAAACTTTTGTTCTCAAAGAATACCATCAAGTAAATGCAAAGACAAACATTTGCAAATCATATCTGATAAAGGACTTATATCGATAACATATAAAGAACTCTTACAACTCAATAATAAAAAGATAAATAACCCAATTTAAAATGGGTAAGGAGGGGCGCCTGGGTGGCTCTGTCGTTAAGCGTCCACCTTCGGCTCAGGTCATGATCCCAGGGTCCTGGGATCAAGCCCCGCATCAGGCTCCCCGTTCTGCAGGAAGTTTGCTTCTTCCTCTCCCACTCCCCCTGCTTGTGTTCCCTTTCTCGCTGTGTCTCTCTCTGTCAAATAAATAAAATCTTTAAAATGAAATAAAATAAAATAAAATGGGTAAGGAGTGTGAATATACATTTCTCCCAAGCAGATATAAAAATGGCCATTAAGCCACCATTATTAGACATCAGGGAAATGCAAATGAAAACCACAATTCCACTTCACACCTACAAGGAGGGCTACAATCAAAAAGAAAAATATTCAGATCTTGGATTATCATTTTATTGATCATTGCTAAGTTCTGTGAGTGACCACTATGCAAAAATAATAATGATCATAATAACTGTTGGTGAAGATAAGGGGAAATTGAAATCCTTGTACATTTCTTTTTTTTTTTTAAGATTTTATTTATTTATTTGACAGATAAAGACACAGAGAGAGAGGGAACACAAGCAGGAGGAGTGGGAGAGGGAGAATCAGGCTTCCCGTTGAGTAGGGAGCCTGACGCAGGGCTCGATCCCAGGACCCTGGGACCATGACCTGAGCCGAAGGCAGACGCTTAACGACTGAGCCACCCAGGCGCCCCTCCTTGTACATTTCTGGTGGGATTTTAAAATCATATGGTTGCTTTGGAAAACAGTCTGGTAATTCCTCAAATGGTTAAACATAGTTACCATATGACTAGCAGTTCTACTCCTGGATATATATCCAAATATGAAATGAGTAAAGACAGATTGTAGGTTAATGGTTGCTAGGGCTTCATGGGTTGGGGAATTGGAATATGATGACTAAGAAATATGGGGTTTTTGGGGGGGTGATGAAAGTGTTCTAAAATTGATCGTATTGGTGGGTGCACAACTCTGTGAATATACTAAAAACCATCAAATTGTATACTTTAGGTGGGTGGATTGTAATAAGATTTCAATAAAGCTATTAAAAATTAAAATAAAGTAAACATCTTAGTCACCATAAAACTCTTATATCTTTTCAGCCAAGCATCTTCAGAGCCTTCTCATGGAGAGTGTGAATTTTTCCCCTGCCAATCTGTCAAGCACTGGTTCTAGGTACCTGAATGCTTTGGTTGACAGTGCAATGGCCCTTGAAACGAAGGATACCTCACTAGCTAGGTAATTCTCATGACAATTTTAATTTCTGTAATCATATATACTTTAATGTCTTGACGTAAGGACTTTTTGTTTCTCTGGGTAATTCTATATAGGAAATTAACAATAAATGCAAAATTTACTTAACTCCTCCTTATCATTGCCAGTGAGTATGTGTAATTAGTTCAGATAAACTTGGTGTTGTTTAAATTTTCTTCTTCCAGGATTAGGTTTGTGAAGGTTGGTACTCATGTATATTTGGAAAGGGATTAGGTATCACTTACATTGCTCCCTATAAACAAAGACAAGCAATAGGCTAAATTATATCTGATTGAGCATAGTGAATTTTTGTCATGTCCCCCCTTTCTGGGTACAGTAGGTTAAGTAAGTAGGGTGACAGGCATCCCACCTATATAATAATATTATTCTTTCCAACAACCCTAAGAGGAAACTGAAGCTCAGTGGAGGTGTGTTAAATAACTTCTCCAAGCTGGTAAGTGGCAGAATTGGGATTCCAACCCAGTCTGACACCAAAGTCCATATGATTACCACTGGTGGCCATGTCTTAGCTAGGACTACCACTGTAACTTATAATTAGAGAACTGTATAGCTATTCTACTTAATTGCCCATATAAGGACTTGGGATTAATATGTATGCTCAGAGAGTAGTGTTTTAGGTATAAGAACATAAGGCTATATTGCAGCAGAAATCTAAACTTGAAGCAACTCAGCAGACACCAAATGCCGGTTAATACGCTAGGCCTATAACCATAGCTATATACATACACGTACACATACATACATATATATACAAATAGATAGATGGACAGATATAAATAGGTGTGTAAACACACACATACACACACACACGCAGGCACTGGGGAAGCACAGATGAATAGGATAATAGCTGTCAGCAAGGACAGTCTCTGCTCATGGTCATATAAGGGAGATGGGTATGTAAAACTATAGCGTAGTTTGGCATCTGTAGCAATCAAAGAATGTACCAGCTGTGGCTAAGTAGCACAAAGAAAGGAGTAGTGAGTTCCAGAATGGGAATAAATCTTATTTGAGTTTTGAAAGACAAAAGGAAATTTGCCTGAAGAAGGGCTATTCAGGCAATGGGAACAGCATATAAAAAAATGCATAGAGAAAAAAATGCATGGAGGTATGAAACAGCGTGATGATAGAAAAACCCACATAGAGATGTAGTCATTGTTAGAAATGAGGAATAACTGTCATTATTGTCCTTAATGTCCATTTATATGACCAGATTCTTTTTTTAGTTTTATCCCTGCAGTGAATGATTTGACCTCTGATCTTTTCCGTACCAAATCCAAAAATGAAGAAATCAAGCTTGAATTGGCAAAACTTGAAAAAAACCTAACTGCAACTTTAGTGTTAGAAAAATGTCTACGAGAGTAAGTACCCGAGTTGGAAGTGGTGACAATGTTTATTATAAAGACAGAACATCGTCAGATTTAGTTTTGACAGTAGGTATGATTTAAAACAACACATTAGGAACTGGGGTCCATAAATGGTTTTCTAAGTAAAACATGACTTGGATGTAGATAGGGGTTGGTTGGGTACAGACTTTCACCTTTTACTTCATATAATTTTTACCTTTTTTTTCTTCTTTTACAAATAGCCTAGGGGTTTTTTTCTTTAAGATTTATTTATTTATTTGAGATTGAGAGAGTGTGAGCGAGGGTGGAACAGAGGGAGAGGGAGAGAGAATCTTAAGTAGACACCCCACTGAGCAGAGAGCCTCATGCAGGGCTCAATCCCTCCACCCTGAGATCATGACCTGAGTGGAAGTGAAAAGTTGGATGCTTAACCAACTGTGACACCCAGGTGCCCCAACAAATAGCCTAGGTTTTATAATTTTGAAAATTTTATGTGAATTGTTTTTTTACTTAAAAGTTATGGTGCAACTTAAAGTCACATCATATTTTGTTGCCCATTCTTATTAGAGCTCTGGTATCCCTCTTTTTTTTTTAAGATTTATTTATTTATTTTAGAAAGAGAGAGAGAGAGAACGTGTGTGTATGTATGCGTGAAAGCGGGGGCTGGAGGGCGGGGAGGGTTATAGGGAGAGAATCTCAAGCAGACTCCCTGCTGAGCACAGAGCCTGATGCAGGGCTAGATCTCAGGGCCCTGAGATCATGACCCGAGCCGAAATCAAGAGTCAGACATTTAATCGACTGAGCCACCCAGGCTCCCTAGAGCTCTGGTATTCCTCTTGATTCTCTGGACCTTCTTTAGGTCCCAATTGCCCCAGAGATTAGATGCTGTAGATCAGGAACATGGATATGCACAACTAATTTGATGGTATGTAAATTTACTTAACAAATATTGAATATGGGGCGCCTGGGTGGCTCAGTTGGTTAAGCGACTGCCTTCGGCTCAGGTCATGATCCTGGAGTCCCTGGATCGAGTCCCACATCGGGCTCCCTGCTCGGCAGGGAGCCTGCTTCTCCCTCTGACCCTCCCCCCTTTCATGTGCTCTCTCTCTCTCTCATTCTCTCTGTCTCAAATAAATAAATAAAATCTTTAAAAAACAAACAAACAAACAAAAAAATATTGAGTATGTATATGCAAGGCACTATCATGTCACATTTAGGAAAGAGGACTTTGGGACCTCCATAATTCATGGAGGCTTGGATATATATATATTTTAAAGATTTTATTTATTTATTTGACAGAGAGAGACACAGCGAGAGAGGGAATACAAGCAGGAGGAGTGGGAGAGGGAGAAGCAGGCTTCCCGCTGAGCAGGGAGCCTGACGCAGGGCTCGATCCCAGAACCCTGGGCTCATGACCTGAGCTGAAGGCAGACGCTTAACGACTGAGCCACCCAGGCGCCCCGCTAGGCTTGGATATATTAAATCAGTTCTTTAAGCAGCAGGTTTACTTTCTCCAAGAATAATTGGCATAGATTTATCTTAAAATTACTTAGTATTCCTTGAGAAAAATTCCAGGTGGCAACATGGAGAGGAAGATGACCTGGAAGAATACACGGTAGCTAGTCTGGGATATAAAATATGTGGTAGAAAATCCAGCAAGTGTATTACCAACTTTTGACTAATCCAGAGTTGAATCCCAAAAGTAGTGGAGTTTCTTCTTTATAATAATTCCACCAAGGAGAAGAAAATGTTTTCAATTTTACTTTTTTAAAGGGATCTGAAGAAGGCCGAGTTGCATCTGACTACAGAAAGGGCCAAAGTTGACAATCGTCTTCAGAACATGGACTTCCTGAAAGCAAAGTCGGAGGAGTTCAGATTTGGAATCAGAACCGCAGAGGTTTGTACGAAGGACTGAATGTATTTAGTTCTTTTTTTTTTTTTTAAAGATTTTATTTATTCATTTGAGAGAGAGAGAACATGGGGGTGGGGAGGGTCAGAGGGAGAAGCAGACTCCCTGCTGAGCGGGGAGCCCGAGGGGGGTGGCGGGGGGGGGGGGGGGGCTCGATCCCAGGACTCCAGGATCGTGACCTGAGCCGAAGGCAGATGCTTAACCAACTGAGCCACCCACGTGCCCCTATTTAATTCTTTTCAGATTTCTTGTTGACCTTCATCCTTACAACTAGACAGTATTATTCCTACCTTTTTACAGATAAGGGAACTATGGAGAAGATAGGTAACTTGCCCAAAGTCATGTAGCTGCTTAGCAGTGGATCTAGATTCCAATGCAGGCAGCCAGGCCCCGAAGCCCGGACTCTTAGCAGTGCACCCATCTTGTGGCAGATCTGTGACTGTTTGAAATGACCCAAGTGCTGCATAAAAGTGCTTAGATGCTGGGGCGTCTGGGTGGCTCAGTCATTAAGCATCTGCCTTCGGCTCAGGTCATGATCCCAGGCCCTGGGATCGAGCCCCGCATCGGGCTCCCTGCTCCGCGGGAAGCCTGCTTCTCCCTCTCCCACTCCCCCTTCTTGTGTTCTCTCTCTCGCTGTGTCTCTCTGTCAAATAAATAAAATCTTAAAAAAAAAAAAAGTGCTTAGATGCATGTATAGTTTTTCATCTGTGATTTATAGCTTCTCGTTACTGTGTTATATGATGAAAATATGAAATGGTGGTCACTTTCAAAATACTGTTTTTAACCGAACTCTATTTTTTGGAATTATAGGAGCAACTTTCAGCCAGAGGCATGGATGCTTCTCTGTCTCATCAGTCCCTAGTAGCACTTTCAGAGGTGAGCTCAGTTTAACCCAATTTAGCTTTCTTTAAAATCTTAGTGCACAATCTACTTTTTCATTTGTTTCTTTGTATAGAGCTTTGTTCACTATTGACCTGTTTTTCTTTACCTCTGTACTTTATGTTCACCAGTATTTATACCTTTATTACTTGGTTAGCTTTAACTATCCTCACGTTTGTTTGGTTTCCTTTATTTATTACTATATGCTAGAAACTCTTTGCTAGAGTTGGTTATATATTATTGATTTGTTTATAAAATAAATTTATTGAGGGATTATGTGCTAACCATCTAGGTCCTCTTCTTCTCTTTCCACTTACAATAAAAATGCAGTCTGAAAACTCCTATAGGATGCAATTCTAGGTTTTTAGGTTGTATAAGTGTCTCATTTATTTTGGTGGGAAGAGGGAGCAAGAGGGGGTTTTGTTTATTTTATTATTATTTATTATTTTATTCTGAAAATTTTTTACACTTTGATTTTTGGAATCTAAAGTTGACAATTCATCAATACATATTTGAGATCCTAATTGTTCCCTTACATTCTGATTCCCCTTCATCACATTATTCTGTACTCTTAGACAGCATTCTTCTAAAAGAGAAGATTCTCTTCTCTTTCTTTTTTTAAAGATTTTATTTATTTATTTGAGGGAGAGAGAGGAAAGAGAGAGAGCATGAGCGGGGGACAGGAACAGAGAGGGAGGCAGAGGAAGAAGGACAAGCAGAGTGCGCTAAGTGTGGAGCCTGGTGTGGGGCTTGATCCCAGGACCCTGAGATCATGACCTGAGCCAAAACTAAGAGTCGTACACTTAACCATTTGAGCCACCCGGTGCCCCTATTCTCTTTTTAAAAAGATTTTATTTTTTGAGTAATCTCTACATCCCATGTAGGACTTGAATTACAACCCTGAGATTAAGAGTCACATGATGCATGGACCGAGCCAGCCAGACGCCCCACTTAAATCCTATTCTTAATAAATGGGAGTATAGGGGCGCCTGGGTGGCTCAGTTGGTTAAGCGACTGCCTTCGGCTCAGGTCATGATCCTGGAGTCCCGGGATCGAGTCCCACATCAGGCTGCCTGCTCAGCGGGGAGTCTGCTTCTCCCTCTGATCCTCCCCCTCTCATGCTCTCTGTCTCCCATTCTCTCTCTCAGATAAATAAATTTTAAGAAAATCTTTAAAAAAAAAAATAAATAAATGGGAGTATAACTTTCCTTTTGTAAGCATCTTATAAGGATTATTTCCATTGGAAATAAGTTTGTTATTCATATATCTTTGAACCTCATTTGACCTATTGATACAATTTGATACATTATTTAAAATATCTTAATGTTAATGCTTTATTATGTTTTATTTCAGAAATGAACAGTGTTTAGTTGCATTATGAATATCTCTATCACTCTGTGACTCCTGTGTTTTTTCCACCCCCAGAAATTGGCAGAACTAAAACGACAGACTATACCTTTGAAGAAAAAATTGGAGTCCTATTTAGATTTAATGCCGGTAATTATTTTTATGAATTTAAAAAAAAGTCATCTCCAACTTTCCCCAAGGGTACTAAATGATCATGAGAATACTAGGTCTATGTTTAAGGATTTAAAGTCTGCTAAATTTCAGTATTGTATGTTCACTGGATACACTTCTGTAAGGTTTTTGCCTTTTGAAAAAGACTGTTGCACTTTTTCTCCTTGAGTCCTGGGTGATGCAATATAACCTCTTCTTGTTTTATTTTTCTTTAAAAGAACCCGTCCCTTGCTCAGGTGAAAATTGAAGAAGCAAAGCGGGAATTAGTAAGTAGTTCCATTTTTTTTTCTTCTGATTTTTTAAAAAGAAAGAAAAAAACTGCTGATAAAGCTCCCTTTATCCTTCTTCTTTCCTTCCTACTCAAAGGTAAACCACAGTCCCAAAGTTGCTATGTGTCATTACCATGCATTTTTAAAAAAAATTTTTTTGTTTTTTTGAGTCAGCTCTACACCCAATGTGGGGCTTGAACTCATGACCCCGAAATCAAGAAGAGTCACATGCCCTCCCAGCTGAGCCAGCCACGCACTCCACCATGTATTTTTTAAATACTTTTTTGGATATGTGTATATATATATATTTTTTTAAGGTTTTTTTATTTATTTGACAGAGAGAGACACAGCGAGAGAGGGAACACAAGCAGGGGGAGTGGGAGAGGGAGAAGCAGGCTTCCCGTGGAGCAGGGAGCCCGATGCGGGGCTCGATCCCAGGACCCTGGGATCATGACCTGAGCCGAAGGCAGATGCTTAACAACTGAGCCACCCAGGCGCCCCATATATTTCTTACCATAACAAATACATAGTGATTTTTTATCTCTTTTAAATTTTTGCATAGATTTTCCTGGCTGGAAAAGGGGGGTCAAGAGACAAAAAATATTCTAGGCAAAAGAATTAACAAAGGTATAAGAGCTAAAAAAAATGGAGGATTTGTCTAAGCTTTGGCAAGTGATGTAGTCCAGATGCTTAGGAGTATACAATACAAAGGGCTAAAGAAGATCAATTGGTTTATGATATAAAGGATCTTAAATATAAAGAGGGTTGAACTTGGAGGCTAGAGGGGACCACTGAACATTGCTGTGTGTTTCTTTATTTTCTAAGCTAAAAAGAAATGTGATCAAAGCTATGCTTTTTTTTTTTTTAAGATTTTTTATTTATTTGTTTGACAGAGAGAGAGACAGTGAGAGAGGGAACACAAGCAGGGGGAGTGGGAGAGGAAGAAGCGGGCTTCCCCCTGAGCAGGGAGCCCAATGCGAGGCTCAATCCCAGGACCCTGGGATCATGACCTGAGCCGAAGGCAGACACTTAACAACTGAGCCAGCCAGGCACCCCAAAGCTATGCTTTTTGATTAGGACAGTTCTTTAGAAAGATTATTCTGGAAAAAAGAAAGAAAGATTATTCTGGAATCAGTGTATAAGGTGGATTGGAGGAGGAAGAAAGAAAATTGCAGAAACTGATTGGCCTATTTTGACCAGGGGAGAAGTAATGAGAAAGTGGCAATAAGAGTGGGAAAGAGATGGGGCGCCTGGGTGGCTCAGTCATTAAGCGTCTGCCTTCAGCTCAGGTCATGATCCCAGGGTCCTGGGATCGAGCCCTGCATCGGGCTCCCTGCTCAGCGGGAAGCCTGCTTCTCCCTCTCCCACTACCCCTGCTTGTGTTCCCTCTCTTGCTGTGTCTCTCTCTGTCAAATAAATAAATAAAATCTTTAAAAAAAAAAAAAGAAGAGTGGGAAAGAGGTGACGTGAGAGAAGTTGAAGAAGTACTTTGCTCAAACAGTAGATGTCGGAAAAATAGGTTCATGTATCTTTACACTGATACAGCGACTCATCTCTCTAAAGGGTTTTTCCCCCTGGAGATGTTTATTAGAATCAGGAGTCTGAAAACTTTTGGGGTGTGGAGAAGGGGGAGATATAAAAGCAAGAAATATCTAAAAGCATATTTAATATTTATAATGGTATTTGTTTAATTTCTTTTTTTTAAGATTTACTTATTTATTTTAGAGAGAGAGCACACCAGTTGGGAGAGGGGCCGAGGGAGAGGGAGAGAGAGTCTTAAACAGACTCCACACTGATCATGGAACCCCTTGTGGGGCTCAATCCCACAAGCCTGAGATCATGACCTGAGCCAAAATCGAGTCAGACGCGTAACTGACTGCACCACCCAAACATCCCTGAAATTCTGTTTTAATGTTTTTCTTTTTTGCTTCCCTTACTTTAAATAACACTAGAAGTTAGACCACCTGTTTTATGTCCTTGTTTTTTTTGGGGGGGGGGTCTTTTTCTTTTTAATTCTTATGTTAATCCCCATACATTACATCATTAGTTTTAGATGTAGTGTTCCATGATTCATTGTTTGTGCATAACACCCTGTGCTCCATGCAGAATGTGCCCTCCTCAATACCCATCACCAGGCTAACCCATCCTCCCACCCCCCTCCCCTCTAGAACCCTCAGTTTGTTTTTCAGAGTCCATCGTCTCTCATGGTTCGTCTACCCCTCCGATTTCCCCCGCTTCATTCTTCCCCTCCTGCTACCTTCTTCTTCTTCTTCTTTTTTTTTTTCTTAACATATATTGCATTATTTGTTTCAGAGGTACAGATCTGAGATTCAACAGTCTTGCACAATATGTCCTTGTTTATAGAATTTATGGTGTTTCTTTCTTCCTTTAGGATACCATTGAAGCTGAACTTACAAAGAAAGTGGACATGATGGAACTGTGACCAGTGTCAAGTAAGCTTCATCTTCCCTAACAGAGTACATTGAGTAGGACTTGAAAGAATTGTTTTCTCTTGGCCTTCCTTAATAACTTAACTCCTGTGTTCTTAGATGAGATAGTAATGTCACTGTTGATAAACAGTGGTTTCTGGTTATATATTGCATTTCTGTGCCCAAATACATAGTTTTCATATTAAAAAGCATTGTGGGTTCTCTATGTTGCTGGCAGTTAAGTGTCCCTCACTGGGTCTCTTTGGTGAACATTATGACATTTGTCATGCAGTCACTTATGAGGTCAGCTAAGTGAAGAGAAGAGTTCTGCAACTTGGTTATGTTTCTCCCACTCCTCCCTCCAGGGCTCTGCTGTCATTCCTTCTGATCAGCTCACCTGCCTACTTCCAAATGTTAATATATGCAGGAATTTAGTTTATGAAAGAGATGACCTTTTAAATCAGTAGTGGAGAGATGGATAATTCAACACATGGTGCTAGATCCTTACTTTACACCTTATGTCAGGATAATCCCAAAGATCAAAGATTTAAATGTTAAAAAAAAAAAAAGAGAGAGTGAGAGGAACCATGAAGAAGCTTTAATGTTTTGACTCTTAAATAATCATACAGTCAGTCAGTAACACGCATCCCAAATCCAGGAGCCATAAATGAAATGATAGAAATATTTGAAAATTTGGAAATATTAAATATTCCTGTGTGGTAAAATCTTTAATAAGTAAAATCAAAGGACTTCACAAATGTGGTGTAGGGAAAAAGAAAGAAATTTTTCACTATGTTCCTTTTTGTACTTTTAAGAATTTTGCACCATGTGATTAGGAAGCAATCAGTTAAAAAAAAAAAAAAAGAAGCAATCAGTTTTGTTTTGTTTGCCATCAGTTTTTTAAAGATTATCTAAATGACCTTAAAAATTTCCCTCTCCTGGGGTGCCTGGGTGGCTCAGTCATTAAGCGTCTGCCTTCAGCTCAGGTCATTTTCCCAGGGTCCTGGGATCAAGCCCTGCATCGGGCTCCCTGCTCAGCGGGAAGCCTGTTTCTCCCTCTCCCACTCCCCCCTGCTTGTGTTCCCTCTCTCGCTATGTCTCTCTCTATCAAATAAATAAATAAAATCTTTAAAAAAAAAAAATTTCCCTCTCCTGGGACGCCTGGGTGGCTCAGTCGTTAGGCGTCTGCCTTCGGCTCAGGTCATGATCCCATGGTCCTGGGATCGAACCCCACATCGGGCTCCCTGCTTGGTGGGAAGCCTGCTTCTCCCTCTCCCACTCCCCCTGCTTGCGTTCCCCCTCTCACTGTCTCTCTCTCTATGTCAAATAAATAATAAAATAAAAAATCTTTAAAAAAAAAAATTTCCCTCTCCTTTCCCACAAATATGTGGAGATACAAAATACGAGAGACATTTGTATTTCCTTTTTTGGAAATTGTCCATATCATTTAGCCATTTAGGCATTGCAATTTGGTCTTTAGCTTAACAATTTATAGAAGCTCCTTGTGTATTAGCTAAATTAATCTTTTGTGGTTTGCATTGTAAATATTTTTTTCAGGTTTGTCATTTGTCTTTTGACTTAATTCCAGTGTTCTTGGTAAGGCAGCTTGGTAGATTGATTGTGGAAGTGACCACAGTAATTCCTCTTGCCCCTGTGCACTCATCCTTTATATTGTGAATTTGCCACTTGTCCCGTCAAGAGACGAATCTCCACCTCTTCTTTCTGACTGGGCCTTATGATTTGTTTTGGCCAACGAGATAATAGCAAATGTAACAAAAGCAGAGGATTAAAAACTGTGCCTCAGAGCTTGCCCTATCTTATGGCTGTGGAATTCTGAAACCACTATGTAAAGAAACTTGGACTGTTGAGGATGAGAAACTACACGGAGCAGAAACAAGTAATTCCAGCTGAGCCTTGCCCCCACCCAAGACCAGACAGGCTGCCAACTGCCAACGGTGTGAAGGAGGCCTTCTTAGACTATCCAGCCCTGGCCACGCCCCCAGCAGTTGCAGAGATCAACTAAGCTGGCCCAGGCCACAAAGTCAACACATAATATCATGAGAAATAATAAAAATGATTGTTTGAAGCTTATTTTAAGTTTTGGACTGGTTGTTAGCTAATTGATAAAAGTAGCTTGTGACATAGTGTTCAAAGTAAAAGGAGAGCAAAAGAAATACACTGTAAGAACCGAAGAAACTTGGTACCAGCAGAATTTTATAAAACAGTAATTATATTAAATGTAAGTGAGAAAATGTTTTAGTTAAACGATCAAGATCAAGGGGCACCTGGGTGGCTCAGTCGTTAAGCGTCCGCCTTCGGCTCAGGTCATGATCCCAGGGTCCTGAGATCGAGCCCCGCATCGGGCTCCCTGCTCTGCGGGAAGCCTGCTTCTCCCTCTCCCACTCCCCCTGCTTGTATTCCCTCTCTCGCTATCTCTCTGTCTGTCAAATGAATAAATAAAATCTTTAAAAAAATTTAAAAAAAGATCAAGATCAAAAAAATAGGTTTTCAAGAAAACCTCTAAGTATATGCCATACATGAGAGAAATATCTTAAAAGTAAGGATAAATGGATCCACAACTATGATACATTACATACTTCTCTTAGTAATTGATAGAATAGGCAGAAAAAAATTACCAAGGATACGGAATATTGAAACAACACAATTAACAAACTTGATCCAATGGACATATAAAGAATCCTATACCCAACTGCCACTAGATACATGTTCTTTTTAGGTGCATCCAGAGCATTTACAAAAATTGTCCAGGGGTGCCTGGTTGACTCAGTCAGTAGAGCATGTGACTCCTGATCTCAGGGTCGTGAGTTCAAGCTCCACACTGGGCATGGAGCTTACTTAGGGAAAAAAAGTTTGTCCAAATGGTGGGCAGGAAAAGAAATCTCAACCACTGCGAGAGCTCTGAAATCATATACAGCATATTCTCTCATCACAATGCAATTAGATAAAAATAAATAACTAAAAAGTTGTATGTTTGGAATTTAAGAAATACATTCTAAATAACCGATAAATAATAATATGAATTAGAAAATATTTAGAACAGAACAATAATGAGAACTATATATCAAAACTTGGATTTCTGCTTTTTGCTCTGATGGAGAAGAGTGATCAGATTGATTGTCTTCCTTTACACAGAAAAACAAGCAAAAAATAGGAAACTATAGGGACTCCTGGGTGGCTCAGATGGTTAAGCTTAAGCCTGCCTTCAGCTCAGGTCATGATCTCCAGGTCCTGCGATCGAGTTCCACATTGGGCTCCCTGCTCAGCAGGGAGTCTGCTTCTCCCTTTCCCTCTGCCTCTTCCCCTGCCTGTGCTCTCTCTGTCTCTCTCTCTCTCAGATGAATTAAAAAAAAAAAAATCTTAAAAAAAAATAGGAAACTATAGTCTTCAGACACTGAATAACAAAGAAGCACAGGACAGGGGTGCCTGGGTGGCTCGGTTAAGTGCCTGCCTTCAGCTCAGGTCATGATCCCAGGGTTCTGGGATGGAGCCCCACATCGGGCTCCCTGCCTAGCAGGGAGTCTGCTTCTCCCTCTCCCTCTGCTGCTCCCCTTGGTTGTGCTCTCTCACTCTCTCTCTGTCAAATAAATAAATAAAATCTTAAAAAAAAAAAAAAGCAACACAGGACATTAATTCATAAGAGAAGAGAAAAAACAAGGTGAGCCCTCTGACTTCCCCAGCTTACTGCATGGAGATAGATAAACTGGACTTCATGAAAATTAAAAACTTTTGTGTTTCAAAAGACACCATTAAAAAAGTGAATAGGGGGCGCCCAGCTGGCTCATTGAGAGGAGCGTGCACCCTTGCCCGGTTGTAAGTTCAAGCCCCACGTTGGGTGTAGAGATTATTTAAAAATAAAGTCTTTTTTTTTTAAAAAAAGATTTTATTTATTTATTTGAGAGAGAGAGAATGAGAGACAGAGAGCATGAGAGGGAGGAGGGTCAGAGGGAGAAGCAGACTCCCTGCCGAGCAGGGAGCCCGATGCGGGACTCGATCCCGGGACTCCAGGATCATGACCTGAGCCGAAGGCAGTCGCTTAACCAACTGAGCCACGCAGGTGCCCCTAAAAATAAAGTCTTAAAAAAAAAGTGAATAGGGGCATCTGGGTGGCTCAGTCATTGAGTGTCTGCCTTTGGCTCGTGTCATGATCCCAGAGTCCTGGGATTGAGCCCCACCCTGCGTCGGGCTCCTTGCTCGGCGGGAAGCCTGCTTCTCCCTCTCCCACTCCCCCTGCTTGTGTTCCCTCTCTCGCTGTGTCTCTCTCTGTCAAATAAATAAAATCTTCTTAAAAAAAAAAATGAATAGACAATCCGCAGAATGGGGGGAAATACTTGCAAATCACATATCTGATAAGGGACTTATATCCAGAATCTGTAAAAATTCTTACAACTTAATAAAAGGCAAACAACCCAATTAAAAAATGAGTAAGGGATTTGAATAGACATTTCTCCAGCGAAGATGTACAATGCCCACATAAGAACATGAAAAGATGCTTGACATCACCAGTTATCAGGGAAATGAAAATCAAAAGCACCATGAGGTGCTACCTTATACTAAGATGGCTAGAACAGAAAAGACATAGTAACAAGTGTTGGTGAGGATGTGGACAAATTGGAATCCTCATACACTAACGGTAGGAATAAAATGGTACAGTTGTTTCGAAAACCAGTTTGGCAAGGTCTCAAATAATTAAATATAAAGTTACTATATGACCCAGCAGTTCAACTCCTAGGTATATACCCAAGAGAAATGAAAACACAGGTCCACACAAAAACTTGTATGTGAATGTTTACATTAGGATTATTCCTAAGAACCCAGATGCCCACCATCTGATGAGTGGACAGACAAAATAGGGTATATCCCTGCAATGGAGTATTATTCATCCATAAAAAGGAATGAACTACTGATATATGCTACACCATGGATGAACCCTGAGATCATTATGCTAAGTGAAAGAAGCCAGTCATAAAGACCATATGTTATGAGATTCGATTCACATGAAATGTCCAGAAACAGAGACAGAAAGCAAATTGATGCTGCTTAGGGTTGAGAGGATGAGAGATATGGGGTGATAGCTAAAGGGTACAGAGTTCCTCTTGAGGTCATGTTGCATGTGTCTGTGAATATATCGAAAACCATTAAATTATATACTTTTTTTTTTTTTAAGTGGGCTCCACGCCTAGTGTGGGGGCGTTCAGTGCGGGGCTTGAACTCATGACCCTGAGATCAAGACCTGAGCTGATATTCAAGAGTAGGACACTTAACCAACTGAGCCATCCTGGCGCCCCAAATTACATACTTGCAATGTGTGAATTGTATGGTAAATAAAGCTGTTGAAGGGAAGGTATGCAGATTAAAAAAGTAAAGCTGTTTCTATTTGCAGATGAAGTTAGTGACGTGAGCATCCATCCCTGGAAGGGGATGTGAGGTGTGGGCAAGCAAATATCCAAAGCAGCCCAGAATTAAACCTTTTGTTCTAATTCCATTTCTAGGTCTCTAACCTGCATATTTTATGGAAAGATCAAATATGCCCATATGGAAGGGTTTGGAGAGCAGCATATGAGAAGGAGCCTCTTTTTTTTGTCTCTAATTCTGGCCCCTGGACTGCATGTCTATCTATAGAGAACCACTGCTTTACCCCAAAATACTTCTGCATTGATCTCATAAGTACAGAGACATTCTTAAATAATCGTAGTAAAATGGTCAAATTCAGGAAATTTAACATTGATAAAATATTACTATCTGATATATAGTCCCTACTCAAATTTCTCTAATTGTCTGAATAATGTGCTTCATGGGTGGGGGGATGGGTGAAATAGATAAAGGAGAGTAAGAGATACAAACTTCCAGTTACAGAATCAATAAGTCACAGAGGTGAAAAGTGCAGCGGAGGGAATATAGTCAATAAGATTGTAAAAATGTTGTTTGGTGACAAATGATGACTGACTGCACTTACCGTGGTGAGTACTGAGTAACGTATAGAATTGTTGAATCATTACATAATGATTGTACACCTGAAATTAATAGAACACTATATGTTAATTATGCTTCAATTTTTATTTTTTTTAATGTTTTATTTATTTATTCATTAGAGTCAGAGAGAGAGAGAGAGGCAGAGGCAGAGGGAGAAGCAGGCTCCCCACCCAGCAGGGAGCCTGATGCGGGACTCGATCCCAGGACCCTGGGATCATGACCTGGGCCGAAGGCAGACGCTCAACCATCTGAGCCACCCAGGCGCCCTATGCTTCAATTTTTAAAAATGTGGGATGCTCAGGGGCATGTGGCTGGCTCAGTTCATGGAGTATGTGACTCTTGATCTTGGGGTTTAAGTTCAAGCCCCACATTGGGTATAGAGATTATTTAAAAATAAAATCTTTAGGGGCACCTGGGTGGCTCAGTCGTTAAGCGTCTGCCTTCGGCTCAGGTCATGGTCCCAGGGTCCTGGGATCGAGCCCGGCATCGGGCTCCCCGCTCCGCGGGAAGCCTGCTTCTCCCTCTCCCACTCCCCCTGCTTGTGTTCCCTCTCTCGCTGTGTCTCTCTCTGTCAAATAAATAACTAAATAAAATCTTTTAAAAAAATGTAGGATGCTCAGGTGGATAAAAGGTTTATTTTTATTTTTTAATTTTTTTAAAGATTTTATTTATTTGACAGAGAGAGGCACAGCGAGAGAGGGAACACAAGCAGGGGGAGTGGGAGAGGGAGAAGCAGGCTTCCCACGGAGCGGGGAGCCCGATGCCGGGCTCGATCCCAGGACCCTGGGACCATGACCTGAGCCGAAGGCAGACGCTTAACGACTGAGCCACCCAGGCACCCAGATAAAAGGTTTATTAAAAAAACAAAAAAACAGGCTTCCTAACAATTGTTTTTCCAATCCAGGGCCATACATTGTGTGTTGTTGTCTCTGTCTGAAGCCAGCTTTTGATACCTGGTTTTGACCATTTTGCTTTTACTATTTCATTACACCCCCATTTCTAGGTCTATGAAACTTTTCCCCTCCAAATGAGCTAGTCCAGCCAGGATGGCACAAACCTAGGGACTATGCATATTGAGGTCCAAGCCCTGAAGAGTCACTGTGCTTTGCCCCATGTTCTGCCCTGTGGGAAGGGCAGTATTCCCAAGAGATTTGCCTTTGCCTATACTAAATTAAGAAGTTGTGACCTAGGTAGGGGCTCGAGTTTCCAGCAGAGTGGGATTAGCTATTACAGCTTCTGCTGCTTGGGAGGCTTGTGAAGCTCGATACGGGTAAGAAGTGTAGCATGAATGAAAAGATGTTCCTCATCAAAATGTGTCTGAAGCTATTTTAGGAGTGGACTGAGGATTGCGTGTGTGGATGTCCTTGGAGCCTGTCTGGTTGCCAGGGGATCTTTTTCTTGTGATTGATCACGGGAGCACGTGACAGATGGCGCACCACAGCCTGGGTAGGACCCTGTGCCTACATGTCCTGGCTTTGATGAGACACCACCCAAAGAGGCCACTCTGCCAGCTATATTTAGTACCATGATGCACGCATGTCCTTCTGACCTTAGCTTCCTCTCACGTTGTACAGATAATATATTTTTAGGTTTATCTCACAGCACCCAGCTCTCACATTTACAGTTTTCTTTAAATTCTGCAGCAGTGGTCTTGGGCTGACAGCCTGCCTCCGCCGTGTTGGGAAAAAGAATTGCTCTCTCTGCCTTTTCAGGATCCAGATTTTCTACAGCATGTTCAGACGCTAAGCACGAAAACTTGTTCTTACGCGTCCTAGCAATGTGACCTTAAGGACGTCATGTAAACTCTCAGGTGTCCAAAGGATATAATAGCTGCCCTCCCTCCCTTATCACTTATTCCATTCATTCACTTATTTAGCAACAAGCTTTATTAAATACTGTGTGTTAGGTTGTGGGGCCTCAGAGATAATACGAATTTCCCCTCAGTCTCAGAGAGGCAGTCTATAAATTCACAGAATATCAGACTGGAATGAATTGTCCAGTCCAAATTTTAGTCTTATAGACCAGGAAACTGAGGCCCAAAGAAATAAAATAACTGCCCAGATGTCACACCCAGTCACTGACCAAGTTGGGATTAGAACCCAGATCGCTTCTTTCCCAGCCCAAGGATCTTTGCTCTGTGTCACCTGCTTTTACCTAAACTGAAGTGAGCTTCGATTTTCCTTACACAGCCTTACATTAACATTGTAAAATTAGTATCAGTGATTGAGAAAATATACAGTAACTAAAACCTAATATGAAGTCAGAAATTAATACCATTTTGGGGCTGCCTGGGTGGCACAGCCTGTTAAGCGTTCCACACTTGGTTTCCACTTAGCTCATGATCTCAGGGTCGTGAGATCAAGCCCCGTGTCAGGCTCCATACTCAGCACGAAGTTTGCTTGGATTCTCTCTCCCTCTCCCACTTTCCCTCCCCCCTTCTCTCTCACTCCCTCTCTAAAATAAATAAATGTTTTTTAAAAAAGAAACTAGGGGCGCCTGGGTGGCTCAGTCGTTAAGCATCTGCCTTCGGCTCAGGTCATGATCCCAGGGTCCTTGGGATCGAGCCCCGCATCGGGCTCCCTGCTCGGCGGAAAGCCTGCTTCTCCCTCTCCCTCTCCCTCTGCTTGTGTTCCCTCTCTCACTGTGTCTTTCTCTGTCAAATAAATAAAAAAAAATCTTTAAAAATAAGTAAATAAATACGATTTATTTGTTAATATGAGAGAGAGAGAGGGAAAGCGTGTGCACCTGTGTGCACACAGGAAGGGGCAGAGGGAGAGAGAATCTCAAGCAGACTCCCTACCAAGCAAGGAGCCCAACGCAGGGCTCAGTCCCACCACACAAGATCATGACCTGAGCCGAAATCAACAGCTGGACGCTCAACCGACTGAGCGACCCAGGCGCCCTACCATGATCTTATATAGCATAATCGTGTAATCTCATCATTCAGGTATTCACATA